AGGCGCTACCAAGATTGATACTGTTAACTATTTGTGAAAAATGTTTTGAAATAATTTGAAATCATTCAATTAAACAGTTAGGATCAAAAATAAAATAAATTTAGAAATCATCGTTTATATTTTCGTTTATATTATCTTATCATGATAGGTAATACCGATCGCGTAAAATATCATTGGTTTGGAGCGACCTCTTCGTTTAAGGTCGGTGATTCCTCGTACTACTACTCCACTCAACCAAATCGGTAAAGTAGAAAATAGAGAATTTAAATAAAAACTTGAATAAAATATAATTTCTCTATTCGTTATTCAAAGGATTGGAATAACCCTTGTTTTATTTGATAAATAATGAATGTTAAGCTAGTTAAAATCACGTTCAATTCTGTGGATTATTTTCGTTTCCGTATTAATAACTTTCAGCATATCTGATCATGTTTATAAACACCTCGTGTTTAGATTCGAATTTCAAAATCTGTAAAGCATTTAACGTTCTTTTGACTTACAAGAGTGTGTCGTTCTATGTGCTGGTTGATTTGCGTTACAAAATTTATTTTCCATCTATGACCTCTTTGAACTCTCTGCCGGAGATTCGTCGCGACGATTTTAATAGTTCAGCGTCAACGATACGGTTGTTTTTCATCGGGAAATGAGATAAGAGGAATCCTGCCAGCATTATCAATCGTGTTACCACACACGTAGGTACGTACACGAACGATGAAACGTTCCTCGGCGTGATAACACACAGATATAAACGGCGGATAACGTTTGCCGGTGCACGCGAGTGTTCTTTGCGTGTGCAGTGCACAAGCATCTTTGCATCACAGGAAACAGAGTTTTCCTAATGAGTCTACGGTCGATGAATTTCAAATGAGGTTGGCGTTATTCAGTCACCGATCTTCCGTTCACAATGCAATTGTGATGCAACAACGATAAACTTAATAACAAAGTGTCCCAATGCGTGTTTTCCAATTTTATTATCAACTCGTGAAGACCTTTGGTATTTAGCGCACGCGATAACTTGACAACCACGGCGACAGAAATGTAAATAATTCTACTAGAAAAAACCGCTCTTTTTATCGATTTTTCTTATCGCGTTAATCATCTTTGTCGTCGTTCTTAATCGAGTCTCCGGGAACGCTCTATTATCCTAATTAGAATTAGATGGATGCGTGCGCGCAAGTTCGTTCTCCACCCGAGCGATGGAATTGAAAAAATTAACACAGCCGATCGACCAGTTCCGAAGATCTAGATCTATTCGACAAAAAATCACAGGAATTTTTATATGTAGAAACGAAACTCCGCCAAGGAAAGACACAGCGGGATTTCCCCTACCTTCTAGTCTAATTGGCCAAGATTTTTCAACAACATCCGTTCGGAAAAACAACATTCCTCGCGGATCAACCTAATGCGAAGTATACCAATTATGTCGGATAAATAGTTGACTTTTCCATAATCCAGCGAGAAAAAAAATGATCGATTTATTGCACGATTATCGCGTCAATCGATTCTCCTACGCATTTTTTAGCGACTATAGAATACCGATGCGATAGTGCTTCGTTTATGCGTTATCGGTTGTACGACGCTAGAGAGAGGTGCTTCCTCGTATTAGAGATAATCACCCCTCGAGAGATACGGTAATTCTTCGATGAAAGTCGCATACTTAAATTGATCGAAGACTCTTAACGAGTCTACTTCAGGGATCAAAACCAGAAAATTCGGCCAAGATTAGAACGAATTTACAGGTCTGCATGAGAATTAGTAGACGAAGGCTTTTGGCGCCCAAGAATTCCAAAATCCAAAATGGCCTAGGGTTAGATAATGTACAGTTGTTGTTACCTGCAACGATAAAACATTTGCGACCCTGATTGCCGGCATAATGCAGCTTCTCGCGGCAATTGAAATGAAAAAGTGACCCAGATGTTACTTTCGCTCGCGCTCTATCTGTTGATATCGCGGCGATCACGGCCGTTGGTTTCTTCAAAAGATATTGGGTTAATACATTTCATCAACGATGACCTTAATCGGGACGGTTTTGCAACGACCGTCCTCCTGCATTTAGACGCTTCGCGTTGAAACGATCTCCGAGAGAATTCATTCCGACGTACTCTGTGCAGAGTCTGCATCCTGGTTCGGGTCATCTATAAATACGCGTAATCAGCGGCGTCGGCGAGAACTTAGTCTACACCGCTGTCTTCTTCCTTGTCGAAAACAAACTTTCTCTATTCTGCTGGAAAAAAAACGGAGTACTTTCAATTGTACCGTGTTTGAACTCATTTTTGTCGGGAAAGCTTCGTCGATTCATTAATAATACTCCCACAAAAATGTAAGTTTCAGTTAACGATCGCTCGGAGCCCAACCGACTTTTGTTTGCTCGACTGGCAATCGAGCGAATCGATGGACGGCTCCCGATGATGAAAGATAAACAGTCCTAGACATCGAGGAATTACTGTAATTATTTCTTTCGAAAACAAAACGTTCGCAACTCGTGCTTGTTTTTGTTAATTTGCTCGTATAATGATATAGGTTCAAATCACGATAAGAATTCAGTTACACTCATTTCAGAAAAGCATACATCAGAAACTTGGCGCCTTCCATGATAAATATCTTCGATTCTTTATACGGAAAAGATTATTCGAGCTGTAATTAGAAAAATAAACGATAGTTAACGTTTCGTTTTCGCGACAGCGGAAATTAATCGATTAATTAAGTTGACGCGACATCGCATTCCGCGTACCCGGAGATGGTCGGCAGTCTTTCGCCGTTTGTCATTCCCTGTTAAGCGGAAGACGAGGACGGAATAATATTTGTGCTCGTCGACCTGGACAAGCGTTCACCCATCGAGAGGAAGAGAGAAGTTTTTCCGTCTCCCGAAACCGCAGTTCCAAGAAATGTACGAAATATTGTTATGCGAGCTGCAAGGAAGGTCTTCCGACAGCCATGGCACTGTTTTCACTAGGAAGCACGCTGCTCTGAATTAATATCGTTTGACATTGTTCCTGCCAATAAAGACGAACTGTAGGAAACGCAATTACGACGACCTTCCGCAATGCCCGGGAAACCTCGACCGTCGATCCTTCCATTCGCTGGTGGGTTCAATCGTCGCGGCGATGAATGGTCGGTGAACACGCTGTTTGTCGAGCGGCGACCGTGACGATCTTTGCAGTCGAGTTGCTATACAATGCGCACTATGAAAACATTCTTACCGAGTAACAAGTAATACGTGAACAGTTCTATTGTTATCGTCGGACAGAGCTCTTCTTACAGCTATCTACAGATATAAGCGAGTGGTTTTCCGTAGAAATATTAATAACTAATTTGCAATAAAAGTAGTTACATCTCGAAGTACGTAGGAATAGGTATACGTTGGTGTACTTGCAATCCAAAGGTCGTCTTCGTGTGAAAACGGATATGACACCTTTTCTGTCGAAAAACACTTTATCTTTATACTCGATTATACGATGTTGGTTATGTCATAAACCCACTGTTTGCACCTGTCAGGAACTGTAAAAAATCGTCCGTACGATAACTATGAGACTCTTTGTACACGATTCGCAACGACTCCGCAAAAGCGTATGCAAAGTATCGTTTTGATAAGAAGTTTTCCACAGTCGAATCTACAGCAACCGGACGATTGTTTCGCTTCGAATGAATTACGTTGCCCCTTATCAGTTTTCAACATCCAAGCGATTTTGTCGGAGGATGAGACTCCGAGACGACGGAGTCCAAGGTACGCTAATTCGTAATCTCTCAATTTACCGCTCTAGCAGGTGGTACAGCAAATTCGTGGTAATTTTGATCTCCTGCAGCTTTGGTCTCTGCTGCTCCAAAGGGGCACGACGTCGACGACGACGACGGGAACATGATATGAAAATTCGTTGGAACGAGACGCGAGCATTTCTACGCACGTGTCTAGGTCACTGATAAGCTGTAATCGACGCCGTTGACGTTTTAGCGCTGAATGACGTATTGCTATGTATTTTCGTTCCGAAAAGCAGGAAAGCCTCGACGTTGCACAGTCCAAGAATTGACTCCGGTTACGCGAATGAGTAAAACATAAACAACATTTAATGAAACAATAACAACGAAGGCCCTATATTTACCGTGGGTTCTGTTTTTCGTACGTATGATATAAAAATAAACGATTCTGACGTCTTAGCCTAATCAACAACAAGCTAAGTAACATCATTAACAAATTTGTTTTCTCTTTCGGGCACGGTAATGGATACAGTTTGCTAAAAGCAAAGCTTTTATCTTACATATGTATCTCAACATGATTTCATTATCGGGATAATTTTTCGTCAAAACAGGCGGACATTGTAGCGATAACGATCTACCAATAACGAAGATAAAATTGTCCAGCGTGTCCACGGTTCGACCTTCTTTCGTTGCGGAAAGCTCGCGCATGGTAAAATAACGTTGCACGTGTTCGTCACGAAAACGGCACGCTAATTGGCCTCCTTGCCACGAACCGAAATTAAGAAAGATTACCGGTGTCGCCGCGACTCGCGTTTCCTGCGCTTTTGAGCAGTCTGAATCGCTGACGAGCGGATGCCCCGAAACGAATTTCAGTCCAAGGCCGGGGTCTCGTTTAGCATCGCAAAGGATTTTCAAAATTAACCAAGAAACCTCCCATCGATCCTCCTTTTTCTTCTGTCCAGTTGGAAACAGATCCTGCTCGAGGATGCAAGAGGTCTGTGGGGGTTGGTGTGAGCAGAAATAATTGTTCAAACACTCGGTAAAGTATTATTCCAAAGAATTCAGCCACGTGCTCGTAACTTCCTATCGTACATTCCAATCATCTCACCTGTAGCTTTGATACATACATCCGCTCACCTTGCGCTCTGTTTACGCGTATCTGTGATCACACTAATTAAGACCATTAGTCAAGGCGTCAACTTCGACGTTTAACTTTGTTACCTAAAATAAGTGGATATTGTTCGTTTGTCGTTGTTATTCTTAGATGTGAGGGAATTAAAAATAAATTAGGGATCTCTGTTTTGGGGTCGATCGAAGCTGCTAGCATACGAAGGAAGCCTCGAAGCCGAAGCAGGGATGGCAAAGATCGAGGAGGAAGAAAGAAATCAGGATAGTGCAGACAGTGGCAAAAAATCGAACGATTCGACTGTCGAGAGCGTGGTCCAGCCGAAAGGAGCCGACCAAGATTGCTGGGTCTGCGAGTCTACCACCAAAGAAACGCTTTGGTGGCAGAGTGAACGAGCGGAATGCTTATTGGATTGGTGATCACCGGGCCGAGTCGAGTCGAGCCGAAGCGAAGCGAAGCGAACGAGGCGTTCGTACTTCGGCGTCGCTCTATAACTGGCTGATTTCGCCTGGAGCTTATTTATTTCGAATCCGAAACTCGTCGCGGCAGCCACGTGCTACGATCGCAGCTGTGAGTCAGTCGATCGTTTTTTCATCGATCGCGGATCTACAACAAACTAAAGAAAAATAAGGAAAATAAAAGGGAACTCGCTTAGAGTATAAAACGTGGAATAGATAAAAATAAGTACATGGAGAGTATAAATTCCATTTTTATAGCGTTGCTATTCGTCGTTGTCCGTGCATCGCTATCGACTTTCCTTTAGGACACTTTGAGGAAAGCTCCGGTTGTTTCGACTCCTCAACCACCCCCGGTGACGTTGTCGATCGTTCTCCGGTTGCTGTGATGATGTGTGACTTGTGACAAGGATATTCATTCTTTCGCTAAAGACTTTTAGATTCTATCGTCTGCGCCGACCGAATATCTCCGTTCTGGAAAGAATAATGGTATCGTAGGTGAGTGTTTCCGAAATAAACGCGCGTTTACATCGGCAGCTGTCAAAGTTCTGAAACATTTCAATTTAAAATAGCCAGCCTAACGAAGGCTTCAGTAAATTTTCCGCGATACAAAGTAAGTGAAAAGTAACATAACGACAGTTGTGTGCGAGCTCGAGCAAGTGTTCGTGTTGACGGACGACGCGGTTGACCCGTATAATTTGTGATTCGCCGTTTGCGAAACCAGCTGTCGATGTCGCACGTGGCGACTCTGTTTGTGGTAAACGGTAGTCCTGTATTTTTGACATTTCACAAGGTTTTTACTATTACCTCCGTCTCACTACGCGTGCTCTCTTCTTGCAACAGTTCTCTTCACTACCTCACGTGGAGACTCGGCGTTGATTACAAATTCAGTCACTGGCAAAAATAGTCAACGGATCCGAAGAGGAAGACCTTTCCACGTTTCACGAGGCGATGCGATATTTATTTTCATCGATAAAGCTAGCAGAAGCCTAGGAGGGGAAGAGCAACCGAAAAAGAGTCTACTTTGATCTAGCGGACTCGCACAGTTTATCTTGGCCTGACGAGATTCGACGTCTTCGAGAAACGGGAATTTGTTGTCTTCAGCGCGCCATCGGAACGAAGAAAGCGTGAAAGAAGTTTCTCGAAGCTCGGTTACCGCCACGACTGGCTGTGTTGAATTTTCTGTGAGCACCTCGGGAGGGGATCTGGGTAAAAGAGGAACCCGATCGGACGCGTGCACCGTTTACAACGTGGGAGTTATTCGTAACTATCGCATAGGTCGCGGTTCGACAGACATATTTTTGCATAAATTTTGCTACGTAGCAGCTAAACCTCTGAGCAGTCTAGCTAATTTTAAACGCGGACACTTGAACGAATTTCTGGAATTCGGCAGTTCGACTCAACGCTACGGTGGAGCGAATCCACAAGGGCGCCCGGATTGGAAACGTATCGGTCCGAGAAAAAAACAATTATTGCGTCGACGAGGAGCCGAAGAAGCGTTTGCTTCGATTAAAGAGCATTAACGTCGAGTTATCGAGCGCACTATCTCACCTATCGAACGATAACGTTGGGACTCTTTGAATACATGCCACCGACGTAGTGAACCGAGTGACGAGATTGCTTTGCAACGCAGTTTGAGGTGTCGATCGAAATACCCGCTTAAAGAGGGAGCAAAGGAGCAAGGAAAGGTGCGTCGTTTTTGAAAACAGAAGAATTTCTGAAATTCATAACAACATCGCCCTAACGTTGAATAATCTAGAAGGCTCCGCGTGCCGCGTTAGGACCCCTCGAATAGGTCCAGGTAAAAAAAAAAAGGGGAGCAGGATTTAGGGTAATAGAGGGGAGCTAGGAATACGATCAACGTCAGTTTCAAAAGGCGGTAGTTGGACGGAAGACCGAGTCGAGAGAAGATAGACGGAAACGGAGGAAGTCGAGTACAGAGTTGAATAGAGAAAGGTCATGGCAAAGTGCAAGCCTTTGTCAGCTCCTGAGCGACACGCCAGCGTCGTGTTCGACGAAGAATCGGTGGCCGTTCGATCGCGATGGCGAAATCTTGCCGCCTTTTGGATACTTGGCCTCTGCAACAATTATGGTTACGTGGTGATGCTCAGCGCTGCCCACGACATCCTCGAGAGCAAGTTTGGATCGACGGTGAGTACCTAAAACTGTTTTCATCGATTTCGAATATTTGTTTTGTCGATCGGTTTCGCTTCGAATGAATTAAGTGTACTGGAAAGTATCGTTCTTATCACATTTTTTTTTTTGTACGATGTCTCGTCAATTATGCACGGTATCGGTAAAGCGTGCAGGAACGGCGTCGAGGCAAAGCTATTTAAGAGGCAAATCGAGCGATTAGTTACTGAAACAAACATTTCCACTATCTTCTTTCAGCGAAGAACAAAAGTTTCAGTGCAATTCTTTACGACTTCTTTTTGCTGTCACTTTTTTTCCGACATGTACGCGATACTCGACACAATGAGTCTGTAGGTGTAACGCAATCCTTTCCGTTAATTCTTCGTCCATAAGTTGATTTACAACTTGTTTGTAGCCAAACTAGATATCGATAAGTAATATTGCGTCTTTTATCGCAAGAACAATTTGACGCAAGTTCGAAAGGTTCCACGTCTAATTTTAGCGCTCATTGTGTATTCATTGATCGTATCCAATCAATGTCACGAATTAAGAGATTGCGAAACAGCCTGTAAACGGCGCGGTGGAGCGTTTCGTGGAACTCTTTTGAATCATTAACGATACTTCTCTGTTTACCTGCGATGATAAACTGCAACGAAGTATTACGATATCTGGGTGACGATACGGGAAAGGTGTGCGCGCACGCGAGCGAATTTTCGAGCCGTATTATCGAAACGGCTAAAGCGTGACGGTCACGGTCCTAGGTCAGTCCACAGAATCGAATCGAGGGGAAATGACATATACGTATTTAAAATTGTTTCTGTTCTATTTCTAATGCTCCATTTCTTTGAATTGCTGGGGTCTGACCCATCGATCATCGATGCTCGATGAATCACCGACTCATTCAACCGTATTACGAGACGGATGATTAGATCCTTGTATGGATTGAATTTTTATCGTGACCCGAGGGTACTCCGATTGTCGAGGAATTCGTACGTAGACACATAGATTTAGTCACGTGTATCAGGATTGTAAGCCATGGTCAACAGGTGGGAAGATTTGTTTCCTTTATTGGTGAAAATTTTGCTTTTTCCTTTCTGAGAAAATGAATCTTATCCCAAGATTTGAACCTGTGCCACCGAGATTAGAGTCGTGCAACTAATGATATAATAAACGATTCCACGGTTATCGTGACTACTGGTAATCATGCCGATTCTAGTCTGGTTAAAGAGACAAGTCACGTCAAAGGATTTAACATTTCGCGTAAACTATGTATCCCAGAGTAAAAGTGTACGAGACTATTCCCCTCCAACATCTACATTTGAACGTACAACACTTCGTCTGATAACAATCGCTGTATTCCAGAATTGTTCCCGCTGCATCGTGCCCTACATTTCACGTCCTCCGTCATCCAAAAAGCGCTCGTCCCAATTCTTATCCTCCCTTGTCCGCGACGAGAATTGCTCGTTTAACGACGTCCTCCCTCGCGGCTCACGTTCGCGATTCAAGTGGAACAGCGGCGACCGAGAAGGAAACAAATTGGCGTTAGCGGAGCAAGCAATTAAACTGAATTACGTCTTCGAAGCAGATCGGGTGTGCAGGAATTTTTGTTATGTCATCGGCAAATCTATGCGCGCGATTCGCATTGTATAATGGACTGCCGCCTTCTCCTCTACCGATCTCGCTTATCCCTACCCTGCGTCGACCGCAACCTCTCACATGGAGCGCGAGAACCAATTACGTAAGCCGCGAAGCGCTATGGAAATTAATATTCAGCTCGTTCAAGGTGGTAACGTCCGTGAAAAGAGATACATCGCCGGTAATTTCCACGAGGAGTGTCGGTGAACCGTTTATGGGAGAATAATGAAATATTTCAGTTCGCGTAACGATACTCTGGACATGATGTTTAACCCCTTACAACTGTTTTCACGAGTCCGACTCGTGATGCAAATTTTAGACCAAACTTGAAAATCAAGAGTCAGGCTCGTTGTTAAATTTGGTGCGACGGGGTAAGGGATTAATTGCTCGATCGAGAAACGTTACTTGTTACGGTAGAACTTTTAGTACGCGTATATTTTCTCTATTATTTTCGTTTGTTCTTTGTCGTTTAAGCAACCCGTCATGGATTTGAATGTCACGACTAATACAACTGGAGTTCGATCCTGCAACACGCTCTCTACTGGCGCTATACTGCTGGCGGACATTCTGCCTTCCCTGGTGGTGAAGGTCATTACACCCTTCTTGCCGTTTTACGTACAGTGAGTACCATGATATTTTTACTCTCTCTTTCGTCGTAGGTCGGGAAATTCACGGTGTGTTTAATAAATCGAACCAGCGAGCGCCACTATTATCAAGTATCTACATATATTAAAACTGTCCGTGACTAATACGCGCGTCTTTTCGATCAACGCGCGTGGGTTGACGTTCGACGTCGTACGCGTCTCCAGGAGTGTATTTCCATTCCGATATTGACCTAAACGTTGCCGCCTGTTGGCGCAAAGGCGTTTCGGCCTGCGGATGATTCCTCGGAGTCGTGTCCCTCCGTGAATGAAACGCTAATCGATTAATCGAATCGTTAATTACAGTGCTCGACTGGCTACCTGTGTGTTATTTTCCGCTGCAGGATTCCTCGTGGTGTCGTTAAGCACTACCGAATGGCTCGCCATTCTGGGCGTCGTTGTAACGTCACTCTCTTCCGGTTTGGGAGAAGTTACGCTGCTGAGTTACAGCCATCAGTACCCCAAGTAAGTTACATCATCGTTTCTTATTTCCCTCCGAAAGATTCCGAGAGATTCGTTGGAAACACGAGGTACGATTATATTCGTGCGCGATAATCAATTAATAGCGATCCACTCCCTGCCCTCTTCTTGCAGGCCTAAAGTTTTGCGTTCTCTTTTTGCTAAACGGTTGACCTTGTTGCAAACATTTTGCGAAAAGAATGCGCGTTAAAGTACATGCACGGATCGTGTGATCTCGACGCGATAACACGCTCGTTTTAAACTGTTACTTTTGCGCTATAACTGAATGCTGTTCATTGTTCCCCAGACAAGTAATCGCGACATGGTCTTCTGGTACAGGAGGCGCTGGAATAATTGGCGCGCTCTCCTATGCCGCCCTCACGATTTGGTTCAGCAATGAAGACACGTTGTTGCTCATGTTAGTCGTACCGATCATACAAGGAATCACTTTCTGGTTGGTCTTGGTCCATCCGACTCAACCCACAATACCGATCACTAAGAACGGTATCGAGAGCCAGGAACAAATCATCGAGAATCCAAGGAAGAGCTTCAAAGAGAAGATCCATCTGGTCCCGGGCTTGCTGAAGTATATGATTCCTCTGGGGCTCGTGTACCTCTTCGAGTATTTCATTAATCAAGGATTGGTAACGTCTTTTTCTCCCTAATCGCACAGTTGTATCTATAAATAATTCGTTCGACTCGCGTTTTTATCGATACATGTAAAAATCATTTTCAGTACGAGCTGATCGAATTCGACGGCATTTGGTTATCGCACGCCGAGCAGTACCGATGGCTCCAAGTGGATTATCAGATTGGAGTATTCATTTCAAGATCGTCCGTCAATCTTGTCACGATTAATAAAATCTGGATCATGGCTGTTTTGCAGGTAACCGTGTTCATTGATAACGAAGGCGTTAAGTACACAGTGTAGCATGTTACGATAATTTAATAATCTATCTGATGTTTGTTTCAGTTTGTTAACGTGATCGTCTTGTTGTTCGAGACCCTGTACTACTATATGCCAAACATTTGGATCGTGTTCATCCTGGTCTTATGGGAAGGTCTCCTTGGTGGCGGGGCGTACGTCAATACGTTCTATCGGATGTCCACCGAGGTGAGAAGAGATTATTCAGAAGGATTGTCGCTTCATTAATATAGCGTTGCTTCTAAATCTCTAAATTATATTTTGATTTTCAAACAGATTCCAAGAGCAGATCGCAAAATTTCTTTGGGGATTGCCACGATGGCCGATTCCATCGGGATCGCGATCGCAGGATGGATGTCGATGCCCGTTCACAATGCGATTTGCAAAATGCCACAACCGAGTCGACTGGGTAGCTAGGTAACCACTAATCATTAGATAGTATCTAACGACAATCGCGCGACCAAGCAAGCATGGCTTCCGCAGCGTGATGAAACCGTGCGATATTTAACACCGAATTTTCCTCGATACGTCTTGGTGGACGCGGTCACGCCGATAACCGGACATAAGTTAACAATCGTTTGTGCATCCTAAATAGTTTAGATGCTGCAATCACAGCTGTACACGTTAATCTGCTGGATGCCACATTAACTTCTATATTTATGTTAGACGGCAGAGAGAGAGAGAGAGAGAGAGAGAGAGAGAGAGAGAGAGAGAGAGA